AAGTCATTTCTACTGGAGCTAATAGTTTTTTCAAGTACTAATACTTTGGAAACCCATTTTAATGCACAGAGAGTAATAATAGTGAATCCGCACATTCATCACCTTAAAAAGTAGGTATTTTTTAAAAAGATTTTATTTATTCATTTGACAGATAGAGATCACAAGTAGGCAGAGAGGGAAGCAGAGAGAGAGAGAGAGAGAGAGAGAGAAGGAAGCAGACTCCCCGCTGAGCAGAGAGCCCAACATGGGGCTCGATACCAGGACCCTGAGATCATGACCCGAGCTGAAGGCAGACACTTAACTGACTGAACCAGTCAGGTGCCCCTAAAATAGGCATTTTTTAAGTAGAAGAAAAATCTACTGTTTTAGTGACTCTCGTTCTCTCTTTTTAAAAATAAAGGGTATGAAGGCAAACATCAGCCTTTCTCCATGTATATAATTATAACTCCGGGTTAGTGAATGACATAAAGCTGTGCTGTGTCTAATGCTTTGTGTTTAAACTGGAACCCATTTCCGTACCCAGATAAGAAGCCAAGATAAGAAGAGCAGATGATCTCCAGCTTTCACTTAGAAGGCCAGATCACGGGCAAAGTGCATCACCTTGCAGAATGACATGCAGGCTCCCGTACATCGAGCTCTCAACTGCGTTCCTCATTGAACAACGCGTGTTCCTTAAACCTTTTCCCGGGCATCCTTCTGTAGTCTCACATGGTGTCCAGTGGAAAAGCGACGCTTCTCCAGCATCCGTCTGCCTGAAGAACGCCGCAGTCAGTCCTACAAAGCTCCAATTCAGGGTCTCCCCACTGCTGGAATACCTTTGGCGGGGAAAAGGGGTACGGTTCAAGATAAGCACGACCCCAAGTCACAAGAGTGCCCTGGGATGGCGGGAAGAGGACATGGGTAGCCTTTACCCATGGCTACATGGGTAGCCAGTTCGTAGCTGGAATGGTGAATTTGGAATTATGCTAGGTCTGGTTCTATCATTAGGCGAAATCTTCATCCTCTATATTAAAAAAAAAGAAGAAGAAGAAAAGAAAATCTTCTAAAAGAAAATCTTCTTCAGGGTTTTCAGCGACCTCAAGTGTCATCCTGTCTGACTCAGAGGGAATCACCACAGCCTCGTGCAATCGGCTTAGGTTTCTTGGGTTGAAAACTCCTGTTTTAATACTCTGACATTGACTGTTAGAGATGAAGGAAAATGACATGAGCCAGGCCTGGCCTCATTATTTCACTGCTCGGAGCCCTCGCGCCCTGCCTCGGAGGGACATGTCATGACTTTGCTTCTTTCTGCAAAACTGCGATTCCCAGTGAGACGTTTGCTCCCATCTCCAGTGCTTTAAGATTCGGTAATTATGTTGATGGACGGGAGCCAATGGTTCTTGGTAACGGCGGGAAGCCTGAGCTGACCCTCCAGCTACCACCGCAAGCAAGGCTCTTCTCCCCCATTCTGCAACTGTAAAACAGAACAAAATCCAGCAGACAAGCAATCGGATACATTTGAGGGGTGACTGGTAAGAATGGGTGCTGCAGGGTCACAGGGTCACAGTAAGCAGCCAGTAGAAATTCTCTGGGCATCTGTGGGCAAGAAACAAAAACACTCCAGCTCACTTCCCAAGCAGAGAAATGGATTTTGAGGTTGCATGGAAAACATTGCTTGCAACAAGTCACACATAAGCCCCCACTCTTGGGGGCCCTGGAACTATAGGCTGGGGTGTCATCAGGAGCTCAGGCAGCTTCTCTCCGCACCCCTTTCTCTGGGGTCGCAGGTTTTCTTATCTCTGCTGCGTGTCCCTCTCATTGTCTGTGTTCGATGCTGGCTCCAACTTCTAAGCTCATTCATTCACTCGGGGCACCCGTGACTGACCTAGGAGCTACAGCACGTGACCGCACCATGGCTCACGGCTTTAGGTTCTGTGCTTCTGTTTCCAAGTCTCAATCTCTCTGAGTTTACCCATCGAATTGAGCTGTCTGCCAACAGTCTGAACCCCATCAAAATGGCCACATCAACCTACGGTCCTCCGGCGTCTCTGCGTCCTAACTCACTAATTAAAACGCTGCATACAACAAAAATATAAATAAGCCAGAGTCAAGGCATTTTTTTAAGTATAGTTTATTACACAAAATACATATTCACTTTAGAAAAATTAGAAGGCACAAAGAGATACATAAGCCACAATCTAGGAAATTCTCTGTATCTCTTTTGCATGTATAAATATAGATACTGTTCTTACAGCATGAAATTGCAATTATTGTTTCTTGACCTCTTTTCACTCAATAACATATGATGAGCATCTTTCAAGGTATCATCCTATCAAACTAAAGAAAAGGAGACTTTAATCCAGGGATGTTAGCTCAGAGTTACTGAGAATCCCACTCGTGTTTTTCTATATCCTTTAGCTACATTAGCTGATTTAAACTTCACAACAACACAAGGCAGGGACCATAAGGAGCCTGATTTCATAGATGAGAAACCAAGGCACAGAAAGGGTAAGTAAATTACACAGAGTCACTCAGAGGGAGAACGTTAACGCCATGCCATCCAGCAACAGAACCACGCCTGCAACCACACGTTGTACCTGACTCAGGACTCAAGGTCTCCCCTTTCCTCCCCCAGAGTTTTGGAGACACAGAAAAGAGACAAAGCAAGAGCCAAGGAGGAGGGTATGAGAGAGAGATGCAGAGATTTGTAGTGGGAAACAGAAAAAGGGTGCAAAGAAGAAGCAATGTAAGAAAGGCAATAATAATAATAATAATAATAAATAACAAGGTGGCAAAGTAAAATATTGAACTGGACTCCATTAAATTGCCATTTTTGTGAGTCAAAACCAAATGAACACTGGCAATTTCATGGAACTCAGTTTATTAAATTCCATCACCAGAGGAGATGTGCCTTAGGGCTCTTGGTTCTCCCCTAAACTCAGGGATATGTTATGTTCCTTTCCATTGGTTATATCTGTTAGGCTGATAAGTGAACAGATAAAAGCATCCCAGTTTCTGGAGAAACTGGCGGATTTATCCACATGTGGTGTATTTTAACCCTGAACATGCCTTGGAGCTCAAGGGTTGACCTAGAAAAAAAAAAAAAAAATGAAGTCATCAGAGTTGAGTCTGTTGGTGAGATTATCATAGAAACAGAAAATATAACTTCCAAAGACTTCAAGGCAGGGAATAAACAGATTAATGAAAATTTGCTGAACTAAAGGGTCAAAAATAAGGCAGGGGAAAAGGGCAGAGATCAAATAAAAAGTATAATAGATAGAAAAAAAAATGGTATACCAGACATTAGGTCAAATAGAGTTTAATCAGAATAAAGACACATGGATTACCCTAGAGAAGTACTGGTCAAAATAAAGATGCTCTAACCACAGAAATGTCACTTGGAATAGCCTTGAAAAGATAGTACTTGAGGACAAGGAAGGTTATCACATAATAAACCAGAAAAATATAAGAAAGCAGGGACAGTGAATATCAGTAACACAGCCTCAAAATATACAGGAGACCCACATGAAACTGTCTATATTTGACAGACCTATAAAAGCAGTGATGTCATAAAAGAAAACAGAATTAGGAAAATTTGAACTTCTTAACATATGTTTTGAACATCATCTGTTCCAAATGAATCAAGTGATCAAAAATAATAAAATAATAATAAAATATTTTTTCCTGCCCCCAAAATAAAATACAAAAATAAGAAAATAAACCCAGCTCAAACTACCCCGGTATGTTTGGAAACTAAACAGTGATTCTCAGTTCTTCATGGGTCAAGAAGGAAATCCTGACAGAAGCAAGGACTAGTGCCAAGCTGGTTTATCATGGTCTGACTTTTCCCATTTTATTTTATTTTAAGATTTTATTTATTTATTTTTGTGAAAGAGAGGGAGAGAGAGAAAGAGAGAGAGAGTACAAGCAGAAGGGAAGCGGCAGAGGGAGAAGCCAACTCCCCACTGAAAATGGATCCCTATGTGGGACTCGATCCCAGGACCCCGGGATCATGACCTGAGCCAAAGGCAGATGCTTAACCAATTAAGCCATCCAGGCATCCTGATTTTTCCCATTTTATTAAGCTGGTGTGATTTAATACCTGGTGATGCCAGTAAAACTAATACAGTAGGCCTCTAGTACCAAGACCCTGGTTTTTAGTGGGAAAAACTGTAAAGTCTTAAATGGCTTATTTCACTCATTTTTCTATAGATTTTGTGTCTAGGTTTTACCTCGTGTTTCCCCCCATTTTCTTCCCTAGGATTTCTCTAAGAACCGCCCACCTCCCTCCATGTTCACAGTTGAAAAGCCCACAGGTGTCCAGTGGTTGTCACAGGACCCCAAGGCTGTCATCGCCCAAGGCTCTTCTAAGAACTTTAGGGATTGCTGAGAAAACACCCTTGGGACTATTTAGACAGACCACCAAAGGACATCTCAAAATACCAGCTGCTTTCACCCATCACAGATAGACTTCCCAATCCCTAATGTCGCTTCTGGATTCTCCCCAGTCAGCCATCTTGTTGAAATCAGTACACACCTCCCCTACTCATGGATGTGGGCAGATCTGATCATGTTTCTTTAGTGATCCAAGCACAGGGAGGCACATGAACAGGAAAGTGCTTAAGACAGCATAGGCTTCCAAATCAGAGTGATGCCCATAAGAGCAGGGGGAGGTTTCAGAATGCTTTTTTTTTTTTTCCTTCAGAACACAATTTCCATCCCAAGTAAAACCCTTCCTTAAAAACATCACAATCATTAGAACAAAAAGGGGAGAAAACATGCAGAGGAAAGCAGAGTTAAATTCTCTTCCTCAGCACCACCCCCCCCCCTTTAAAACAGGCCCACGAATTCCATCAGCAAAATTCTTCTAGGAACATCATAATGTCAACATTCCAAAGGAAGCTAGAACCCCCAGAATCAGGGTCTAGGATGCCAGAGAAAGGATGGAGAGGGATCCCCATGAATCCTGGGATTTTGTATAAGGGCAAAGGCTAAGGAGTAGGAAATAAAGTGTGAAATCCTATCAACACCGTTGACTCTGGACACCATCCTAAGAATGTCCCACTTCACTAATTGGAAGGTCTTCCGAGTAAGCAAATGCTTGACGCCTCGTGACAATGTCAGGTAACCAGCTCCTCTCTCTCTCCCTTTATGGCACCAGGGCAAGTTCTGCGACTGGGAGCACAGCCTTCCTTAAGCCCAGGGTTTGGCCCGTCTGTCACCCAGTATTTTAACAAGAAGCCATTTAAAAAAAAAAAAGTGAATGACTTTTTGATAAGGTAGAGGGGATATGAATATTTTTCTGTATGAATTTCCTTCAATGTTATTATATTAAGATGATTTAATAAGTAAAGGTAATGACCGTGTTAAAGTAAACGCTTTCACCACGCCTAACATGACTGAACGGCTCTGGGCAAAGGTCCACTGTAAAGGGTCAGTCTCGTGAGGAAATCAACATTGACACAGAACACTCAGAGGTATTGAGCAAATGAAGCTCGTTGTCGGTCATCACTCTCTCTCACTCTGGAGCCGCCATGCCTCCTTGATGGCAGAGGGGGGCAAATCACTGATGTGGATAACTTATTCTGTTTGAATAAGTTTGAAACATTTTTTTAAAGATTTTATTTGTTTATTTGACAGAGAGAGAGATCACAAGTAGGCCGGGAGGCAGGCAGAGAGAGGAGGAAGCAGGCTCTCCACGGAGCAGAGAGCCCGATGCAGGCCTCGATCCCAGGACCCTGGGATCATGACCTGAGCCGAAGGCAGAGGCTTTAACCCACTGAGCTACCCAGGCGCCCCAGTTTGAAACATTTTGCTTTGAGATGAACTCAGCCTCCTATAGGTAAATACTACATCAATTCAAATGTGGTTTCTTCCCTTTCTCTAGAAGTCACTTGTCCCACTCCTCCTCCCTCCAACATGTCATCTGGGTGCAGAAGGAAGCTGATACAGCCTTGTAGGGATCCTTGGTGTTCTCAACTACCAGTTGGTCTTTTCCCTGAATGTCCTGGTCTGGTGTTTAGTTAGGTGTGGCTCATCTTGCTGTCCTTCGTGGGTGTCCATCTTGCACCTGCTGCTGACCCGCAGGTCCCTGCGGGTCCCTCAGATCACCAGGTGTGGGTGTTTTATGGCCTCTCACTTCCTTGCTCTGATGATAGGCTGATGCCAGGATACAGCCACTCTCACTCCTGGGCATCCTCTCACCAGGGCATAGAGAAACCCCAGGCCTCAAGGACCCCTCCATCCTGGCTGTTCCACCACCTCCAGACCACGGTGGACACGGTAGGAAAGTGCAGAGCCAGGGGGTTGTGGTGGGTGAGCCAAGATGTGCTCAGGCTCCCTCAAACCATTTGGGGTTTCTGTGAGAGTTTCTAACACCTCAGCACCCCAATTTTGCTGAAGCCTAGTGGGCTGGGGCAAGGGGAAGCCTGGGAGGGGAGAGGCAACCACTTCTCAGTGACCAAGCTGTGGTGCACATCCAGGTTTTACCCTCTCAGAGCTGCCTTCCCACCTCTCATGGCAACGCTTTCTATTTCCTCTTTCTGTCTTGTGGAAATTGTCCCTAAGTCATTTCCTCTGCCGTTCTGCACTATGGCTTTCTTTTGATCTAGCCTCATTCTTTCCCTGTTAAGGGAAACCACGAGCAATGCAAAAAACTCTTTCTTCACAAAGCTTGATTTCTCTATTGCTGTGGGCTCAAAATGCCACCTCAAAATCTGGATCTTAGCATTGACTCCATTTTCTCTGCTGTAAGAATTCTGATTTTCTCCAAGATAGTGGACACTCCATCAACCAATGACTTAGAGTGTAGAATAGATCAAAGTAGTTTTGCAAAGATATGGGAGAGGTACAAGGGAACTGCAGGGAACAGTGGATCTCTGGACCCAAGACCTGATGACCTGAGGGGAAGGGCCACCAAACCCAGAAGGATAGAGTGTGGAGAGAGAACCTGTAGCTTTCAGGAAGGGTCCTAGCAGGTCAAGGAAAATCCTCAGGGAAGGGGTCAGCCAGCAGAATAAATATTGGCATCGTTCTCCTCCCCTCTTTCGATCCCCTATTGGAACATCCCATTGGTCACACCTAACTAGACAGCAGAGGCAAGACAGTTCATTGATATAACCCAGCCGGTGAGCTCCAGGATGGGAATAAGCAAAAGGTGCATATGACAGACAACGGAGGATATCTACCCCCAAACCTTTTCCCTGAAAGGAGAGTGGGGAACAAATCAAGTACAAGGGTGTATGAAAAAGAAAACCTCATTGATATTTTAAAAAAATATTATATCCCTGTAACATACATCTGTCTTGACTTCTGCCAGTCTTCATCTAAGTTTGTATTTCCATTAGATGCCCACAGATTCGTGAAGTGTTCTGAAGATAACAATAGCTAGCCCCCAGGGCTTTCTGTAAGCCCAGCACCGTGGGAAGCTTTTTGTTGATGTGATTTAATGCTTAAAGGAACCTTCTGGGATAAGCATTACTATCATGTCCAGTGTACAGATGGGGAAACTGAGACTAAAAGAGTTAAATAATTTGTCCAAGGAGTACCTGGTTGGTACGGTCAGTTAAGGGTCTGACTCTTGGTTTCAGCTCAGGTCGTGATCTCAGTGTCATGAGAAGGAGCCCAGTGTAGGGCTCTGTGCTCAGCATGGAGTCTGCTTGAGATTTTCTCTCCCTCTTTCCCTCCTGCTCATGCTTTCACTCTTCTCTCTCTCTCTTTCTCTCTCAAATAAATAAATCTTAAAAAAATAATTTGTCCAAGGTCATATAAGCTTGTTGAGAGTATGTACAAGATCTAAGACTATGCTGTCTAAGAAGGGCAGGGAGCTGGGAAGGGACAGTGGGGAGCTGGGAAAGGGCACCTCCAACCATAGCATCAGCTGTTTCTAAGTCACGGCTAACAGTCACCATAGGGAAGAGTAGGGACCCATGTCACCAGCTCTGTGTTCTCAAGAGAGTTTGCAATCCACCCTGTGTGGGAAAGGCCCCCATTTTTTCATTTAATTGTTCAATTACACTTTTTCATCTGATTTCTCAAATGGGTGAGTTAAACACACTGTAAGCTTCCAGTTCGCAGACTTTGCTAGACTGTGACAGAGAAACCCCACCCAGCACCCCAGCACCCCTCCACCCACACCGTAATGCTTGCCAAAGACCTTATAGACCACCAACAGTGTTTGTTTCTGGTCCAACTGACAGCCATTATGTTGGTAAGTTTTATAGGAATGATATGATGGGCTACTTGTGATTACCAGCATGAATTAGGTACCATGCATGCTAAGACCTTCACCTGTGTCATATCACTTAAACTCCACACCAACCCCACAATTTGCATATACATCATTATACCCATTTTACAGATGAAAACATTGGGTTTGGAGACATGAGGTCACAAGCGTGCAGTCACAAAATAGAAAATGGCAGAGCTAAGGGACCAATTCAGGCCTCTCTGTCACCCAAACTTAGGCTTCTTCTACACTAAGTCAAAGACTTTCCCCTGCACGACTCTGAGATCGTAGATTGGCAATCAGAAATCGAGAGGGACCATCTTATTCTTCCAAGTCAGGTGCCAGTGAGAACCTCCAGATAATGCATTTTGCATTGCAGGCTGCCCCTCCGCCGTCCAAATATTGTGCTTTCTAAAAGCACCATCCAGAAAAGAAAAGGAGATAAGCAAGCAGAAAAGGAGATAAGCAAAGTAAAGAGTGGGACAGCGTGTACTCGGAAGTGGGTAGGCGGGTGGAAAAACAAACAGAATCTGCTGAGAGTGAATAGAAAGACAGGGACGCGGCTGAAGAAATGCTACGAGGTCCCTCAGTGCACGCTTTTCCACACTTGCTTTACAGAGCAAAATGTCATTTGTAAGGGTGCTTAAAAACAAATGAGTTCCACTCACTGAAACTCAAAGGACAATATTAAGTCAATACATTGTATCATCCCCTAGGCATGCCTTCCCAGCCCTGAGTCCTTCTTTCTCTCTCCATGTCATGTTTCTCATCCTCCTTTCTGGATGTTTCTCCCATCCCTCTCAGCCCCAGCAGCTCCCGGACTCCCCACACCCACTCCTCGCCCAACATATTTATTCCGGTGCAGGAACAAAGTCTAATCAAACGAGAAGTTGCAGAGGAGAAAATCCAGTGTTACGTACTTCCACCCTCTATGCCGCTCACCAGATTTATTGCTGACCCTTGAGCCATCCCTGATTTCCCCAACCTGAGTTGTCACGAGCTCCACGACATGGTCTTCCAGAGTTTTTTGTCATTACTTCTAAAGTTACACCAATAAATGATAAACTTTACCCTTTCAAGAGACTTAGTACCAGGAGACTTCTTCATTTCTACCTAGAGCTGAGAATCAGGTGTCCCCAGTTCAAGTCCCCAGTCCTTCAGAACGGATTTCCGGTCCCCTGCCTTTCCACATCGTTGTGCCCCTAGGACTGCCCCTTCTCTCTAAGTAGCACCAGCTTCAACCTGTTGCTCAGGTCAGAAGACCAGCAGGTCTCTGGGTCTTCCTTTCCCTTGTTGCCTCTAGCTGGGGGCGGGGGTGGGGGGGGTGGGGAAGGCTTGCCAAGTCTACTCCCCCCTCCCCCCACCACCTCCACCAAGACTGATACAACCCCCTCCCCCCCAGCCTCCCCACCCGTCTTCCTCCTTCCAATCTCTTCTTCACAGATTGGCCAGCCTCATCCTCATGAAATGCAAATCCAAACATGCCCTGTGCTCCTGGCTTTCTGCTTGCTTCTGGAATAAATCTAAAATCCTGAACATTTCCCATGGGGCCCTGCCTGACCCGACGCTGGCCTCCCTGCAGCTGCCTCTCACACCACTTTCCCTCTCCCTGCCCTCTCCAGCCACAATGGTTTGCTTTCTCTTCCTCAAATATTCTAGTCCTGGACTGTCTCAAAGCCTTTCCTGGGACCGTCTTCTCTGTCCAGATGCTCATTCCTTAGTGTCTCTTTGTACAGCTTCTTCTTACCTTCAGGTCTCAGCTCCTAATCCTTTTGGCCAGAGAAGCTTTGGTTTTATCTGATGTCCACTCTACTTTGAACAATTAACGTAGAGTTTGGGACTTCATGAAACAAAGAAAAACAGAAACAGAACGAGGACAACAAGACCTGAGTACCGAATGACCAGAACCCACAGGCCCTCTCCCACAGCCTCGACAAAGCCCGGAGTCAAAGTGAACAAGGAGATCAATGCCTGTGTGTGAAAGCAAACAGCCAGTTAAACTTATAAACACATGCCTTGGAGCATAAGTGAAGATCCCAAAAGATGTTTTCTAACTGACGATGTGGAGCTGCGGAACGCGATGCAAAGATAATAGACACATTTAATTTGAAACAGATGGCAATCTGGTCACTGGTTGCTTGACTTGGGCCCCTTGAAAAAGTATTCTCTTCCCTTCAACACTGTGTGAGTATAATTTTTGAAGTGCCAGGATGTGCTCTCATGGAGGACATCCCCAGCTCCCCGAAGGTCCCCAGATGGCAAGGCAAGGCTTAATTAAGTCCTATGGACCCACGTTCATCGGCGTTATCTGCCTGGGTCTGGTCGACAGTAAAGCACAGCTACAACTTTATAAACAAGCAATCCAAAGTGAGGGAGGCACGTTAGGGTCCTCGAATAGGGCACTAGAGGCATGTATAATAACATATCTATTGAGTGTAGATTTTCATAATGTGCCAAAATATGCCTTAGGGTTGTCAGTACAAATGTTACAACTTGCTAGAAAAGCTGGAGGCATCTAGTGATCAGACACAGAGCAGATGTTCTTTTAAGCTAAAAAATTTTGTTTCCCTAAAAAAACTTCCCACCTACTTGCAACTATGCAGCTTACAAACTGCTTAGTGGATCTTTCGAGAGGAGCAAGAGAGGGATCCTAAGGGAAGCGAAGTTTCAGGAACAACAACTTCAGAAACCAAGTTTAGACTCATAAAAGAAAAATGATGCGCTTCTCAAAGATTTGCATGGCGTGGAGAAATGTTCAGGTATCTGTCCAATATCAGTGAAGGTATTTCAATGACAGGTCCTAACCTGAGGCTCCGCACAGAGACTCTGATGTTTCTATATCCTTAACCATTCTCTTCCAATTATCACCTCTAGGATGCCAGTTTTCAGATTACATTTCTTTGGGTTTCAGGGGAAAAAGTTAAATCCACCAGAGATGCTGCCACTTAGCGCTAACCACAGAATTCCAAAGCAAAAATTACGTCCTACTTTCTGAGCATCTTTCTGTAGTTAGGCATTCTAGATGAATCCCAGATGCAACCTTCACAGGGCCAGAAGTCCCAGCCTTGACTTTCTGCTCCCACCTAACTCTGGTCATCACTGCAGATCCAAGGTTGATTACACGTGCCCCTCTGACATTCCCTTCCACATAGTTCATATTTTGAATCTACTGTCTTTTGTCCTTCTCTGCCTTTACCCAATACTTCGTCATCTGTCCATCCATCCATCCTCCTGTCCATCCATCCATCCATCCATCCATCCACCCATCCATCCATCCACCCATCCAATACGGATTGAGGATCTGCCTCTTGCTAGATATAGTGCTATGTGTTAAGGAGGATGAGATAGAGCCTGTGACTTCATAGAACATAAAACCTAACAGTGGAAGTAGGTACGAAAACACACCATTTATTGCATAATTCGTCATTACTAAAATGGAGATACTTGAAAGATGCCGGAGAGGCGCCTGGGTCGCTCAGTTGGTCAAGCGTCTGCCTTTGGCTCAGGTCATGATCCCAGGGTCCTGGGATCAAGCCCCACGTCGGACTCCTGGCTCAATGGGGAGCCTGCTTCTCCCTCTCTCCCTGCCCCTCCCCCCGATCGTACTCTCAAGTGTACATTCTCTCACTCTCAAATAAATAAATAAAATCTTTGGAAAAAAAAAGATAATGGAGAACAGAGGGAGGACAGGTCTATATCTCAGGGTGAGAACTGGGGGATGTCATGAACAGCACCATAGAGGAAGTAATGAGTAGGCGTTCCCCAGGTGGATGAGCATTTAGGGAAGGGAAGGGGGGAAAGTGTTGCATTCCAGGCAGAGGGAGAGAGACAAGCCGATCCCAGAAGCCCGAGAGCCAGCAGCATTTCCGGGGCACTGGGATGGTTCTCCTGTTGAAGGAGCACTGGGTTGGGGGGCAGGGAGGTCGAGTAGAAGAGAAGATGGAGAAAGGAGCAGAACAGGTCAGATCAGGAGGGGTCCTCTTCCTTTGTGGGTCTTGTCCAGTGCAGTGACTTGGATATTGGAAAATCACTGAAGGGGATGCTGGGTGGCACAGTCGGTTAAACGTCTCATTCTTGGTTTCAATTCCGGCCATGATCTCAGGGTCCTGGGATCAAGCCTGCCTTGGGCTCTGTGCTAAGCATGGAGTCTGCTTGCGATTCTCTTTTCCTCTCCCTCTGCCCTTCCTGCTCATGCCTTTTCTCTCTCTCCCCTTCTAAAATAAAATCTTTAAAAAAAAAAAAAAGAAAGAAAGAAAGAAAAGAAAATCACTGAAGAACGGCTTAATATTCTCCCCAAACACAAATAATTGATATAATGGGAAATGGGGAGGAAAAAGAAACAGAAAACACAGTTGGATGAGCAGTATATTAACCCTACCCTGAAAAAAGAAATACCACGGAGACAGATGGTGGCTACATCGTGCAGAGCACAGCCTGAAGTGTAGAGAAGTCAAATCACTGTGCTGTATAAACCTGAAACTAAAGTAACACGGTGTGTCAACTATACTCAAATAAAAAATAATTAAAAAGAAAATTGCTTGATAGTAAAAATATACACAGCAGGGGGTGCCTGGGTGGCTCAGTGGGTTAAGCGTCTGCCTTCAGCTCAGGGTCCCCGGATCGAGCCCCCACATCGGGCTCCCTGCTCAGCGGGGAGTCTGCTTCTCTCTCTGCTTCTCCCCTCACTCGTGCTCTCTCTCTCTCACTCACTCTCAAATAAAGAAATAAAATCTTTAATATACATATACATATTTTATGTAAATATATATATTTCTATATATACACACACACCAGCTCTTAGATGTTTCCTGACCACCTGTGTCTCGTCCCGGTAAGACCTGTTTTCTTTGTAATATATCCGTGCGTGTATGCGTGGAATTCCTTGGTGGCACCGGTGGAAGCATTAGCTGTGGGACAACTGTTCTCCAATTGTTCTGTTACTTGGGGGATCGTCCCACCCTTTTCTCATGACTGCGCTGTGCAAATACACAAGAATAAGCTGACAGCATCCATTTATTTTCTTCCCAGATTAAATAATATTTCATGAAGTTGGAAGTTCCGGTCCCGCAACTTCCTCTTCAGGCCAATCACTTGGGGGCTGTTGAGTCCTTCAGAATATCACAGCTGATGGTGGATTTTGTATCCTTTAGAGCTCCCCATGAGAGGAAGAAAGAGAACAAGAAGCAAGAGGATCTGCCTGAAGGCCAGCCCTTGCCTGATGGGCAGATGCTGCAGAAGGGGCAAGGTACCCAGATCTCTAAGGACAAAGCCAAAGACAAAGGAGGGGACAAGGCTACTAAGGAAGGCCCATATATTGGCAAAACAGAACCGCGAAGAGACGCCAAGGGTAAGGCCAGCCCGGGGCTGGAGACAGACCCCACTCCCGTGCATTTGCAGGCTCCCTTTGGGTTTATACAATGGTGTCCTGGAGCAGGAGCTTCTCATGCAGGCGGAGAGCTGCTGGGGTAGGAAAACACTGTGGTTGCAAACCAGCAAGTCCGCAGAGCTCCTGCTGTTCATGACTGAGCTTCTGGCTCCAGAGCTCTAGTTTCCATACTTAGGTATTATCTGGGGCTGGGCCAGAAAGGCCCAGAGCAGTGGAAAGAAAGGTCGTGCAAGCCCATTAGCTCAGTGGCCACATTCTGTGCCGTGGGTCCCAGAGTAGGTCTCATCTTCTCAGTGAGGGAAACTGATACTTGGGAGGAAAAGCAGAGTGCACCATTCCAGGGGTGAGGGGGTTGGGGGGAGGTGGCTTTGTTCTGATCAAGGGACCCCAACCCTTCTCCCCATCAATCACCCTTGTTTCTGCTGAGTTGGGTTCTTCCATGCTGGACTGCCTGTTAGCCCAGCAAAGCACAGACCTGAGTCCCATCCATGTCCCATCAAGGCAGGAAACAGCCTTGCCAATGCTGTCTCCCTTCTAGTTTGGGGAACGAATCGCTTAGTGTTGGTGGCTGGTGTCTTCAGAGTAGGAAGCAGTGGCCACAGAGCTGATCCACGGGAGGGCAGCTAAGCCAGCTGGAAGCATGTCTTCTTGTTTCTCCTTTTGTAAATTATCCTGTCTGTGCCCAGACGGCTGGGGCGAGTCCTCTCTGCATCTCCACCTTCCTCCAGCTAAAGAAGTCAGACCTTTTGCAAATACATCTACATGGCATTTCCACTAAGTGGGCCCCTCGGGACAGGGGAGGGAAGAGCAAGGGGGTATTTTTAAGATGAAAAGTTACCTTTAAGCCTCATTTGCTACCTGGAAGATACAACCTTTTCTGATCATTAACATGGACCTATCACTTACTCCACATGCTGAACACAGTGACAAAAGATCGTTGCCAGAAGGGGATACATAAATTCTCCTAATTACCCCCAGAGACCTATGTGCGGGGAATCAGAAAGGGCTTTCATCATGCAACCAGAGCTCATTTCTTGAAAATCAGAGTTTCACTTCCCTAAAAACCTTTTCAGCTTTAGGCATATTCGGGCCAAGGAAAACCACGACGACCGAAACAGATAAAGGAGAGCTTGAAAAGTGTGAGGGGGGGGTTGTTTGTTTGTTTTTTGTCTTGTTTTGTTTTTTTTGCAAATCTCGGTCTTATTCCCTGGGACTGAAACTAGTATTTAAGGAGAATTGCAGGGTAAGAGAGAAGAAATGTAGCCAAGCAGTGTAGGAGAGAAAGGGGAGACCCTTTATTGTGGGATAAAGACCTCAGCCTTGAAGCCAAGCAAGTGCAAAATCTTTGTTGCAGACCCAGTTGAAGATGACCTATAAACTTTGAAGGCCTGTAGGGGAACATCTCTGGTCGGCTCCTGTCTCCAAGCTCAGAGGCTTGCTGAGGGCACGCCCGGAAGCCCAGGGCTTTTCCAGATACCTCCCCAGAGCAGTATGCCCTTCCCCCACTCTTCCGACGTGCCCGATTTGTATTCCTTTCCAGTTCTGTTCAGTGATCAGAGCCCCCCTTGCTTTTTGACCTTAGCTTCCCAGAGCAGCCATTCACACAAGTCATGTAAGCAACGAGAACTTTGGGGAGCGCGTGGGATGCAAAGACCGATGCATTCCCTCACTCCGTCCATCTCCGGGGAGCACCCACTCTGCGTCAGGCTCCACTCCAGCGCTGAAACGACCTTGGTGAATGAGCCTGGAGATCAAAGACTCGCCTGCAATGAAGGCATGAAGGGGCCCCGAGCTGTTCTCCAGCTCACCCCCAGCCTTGCAGAGCAATATTGGTGGAGGGTGAATGTGAGCGGTGTTCCCACCTGCTATGGTCCAGTCTGGGCCAAGTCAGTTATCCCAGGAGAATGCCAGTGCTCGCTCCAGAAGAAAGCAGTGCCTGGGGAAGCTTTGGAAGCATTTATCCTGGGAGCCTGAGGTTGGGAATCCACAGACTGCCCCCATGTGAGCCCTTCTGGTTCTTATTTTCCTCCCACTTGAAAGTAATTAGGCTTTTCTTCCATTTGGGGGTTTCTACCCACTTCTGACCCCAAACGGCTCAGGAAATTACAAAGCAAGTTTTCCAACAGATGTTTTTCCCAGCATCAGGCAGTCCAACACAGCTGCCAATTTGCTCTCCCTCCGTCTTGCAAGCCTGATGCATTCAGAAGCTCAGAGAGGCCTCCGCCGAAGGACCCCTTGCTTGTGGAATGACCGGCTGCAAAGGCGAGGCTGCCTTTCGCTGCCTGAGAGGCACTCCCAACCCCACAGAGGGCCTGCCAGGCAAGAGATCCTGGCTGGAAACGTCCATAGGGGGTGTCGGATGTACAGATCGACAGTGGAGTGGTAGAGTGTGTGTGTGTGTGTGTGTGCACGTGTGCATGGGAGAGGGAGACAGAAAGAGAGAGAACAATAGAAAAAGGGAGGGAGGGAGGTTCATACACGTTTAAGGATTGGGGGAAATGGGCTCCCTGGGAAGCGTGCGGTTTGCACAGCAATCTTTGGAATCTCGAGGCTGAGCTGAGCAGGGGTGAGTGCACCAGGAATCTTCAGCCACTCCCTAGTCAGAAAGCCATGTGTTGTATGAAATCGGAACCACATCCCTTGCCGGTGACCCGCCTCCACTCGGGGGCGGCGGTGGGGGGTGGGGCTGGGGAATCTGGGGCGATTTGGAAGATTGTAGATCAAAAGGAGAGCTTGCTTCAATTTGTCGGAGTCAGGAAAACACATCACTCAGCCCAGGATTGGGTAACTGCACATCCTGTCTAAACAGCTCCCCAAGCCTTGATGGCTTAGCAGAGCATGACTTGGTTTTCTCTGAAAACAGCAGATGATTGAAAGAGAAAGGAGAGGAGACAGAGCAAAAGCTCAGAGACAGGGATGGGTCCACCACTGACAGGCCATGTGACTTGGTGCAACTGGTCCCGGATTTGGGTGCTTCAGTTCTACCTTGTGCAAAACCGAGCTCACTGCGCTCAGAGCATCAGAGAATCACCAAGATAGGAGAGATCTTCAAGGTCCTAGTCTGACCATTAAGAGCCTGATACATAGTAGACACTAAGTAATTCTAACCCTTGAGCGAAGGAGCAAACACGTGACCCGCGGGTTTCCCTGTACGCCATCTCTGCAAACAGTCGTTCCATCTAAAGTGCCAGCAACGACAGGACCATCTACTGAGCTGGGCCACTCTGTCTTTGGTAGCTGCAGCTGTTAGCATCCTAAGCAAATCCAAATCCCCATCCAGAACTGCCTCCTGGAAGCTCCCATCACTGGTTCCCATTCCACCTGTTGGGGCAGGGTGAGATGGTGGGGTGAGATGGGTTTGATCACTCTGCTATGAAGCAGTCTTTCCTAGCTGCTGTGTCTCCCATTGGCTTCTTTCTCCTTCGGTCTAATTGTTCCCACCTCCTTCAGCCATGCCCCAAATCACAATGAATGAGGGACAATATACCTCGATGCCCCGAGCTGAATTCAGTAATTCAGCTGTGATTGGACCAGGGAGGGAAAAATGGGTCTGTCCCCTTCTTGTTACAGATCCTGTATCCAATGATGCAGGCAATCACCTCAATGACGTGCGCAGTGGGCAACCCCACTCATCTCACCCCGAATCTGAATGTACTTTTCAGATCGCAAACAGATGCTCACTTCAGAGTTGCTCAAAGACAAAGAACAGCTCCTTCTTGGGTCTTCTGTGCCTTAGACAAAATTAAACACATCAGGGCCAATGAGTGATTCATCATTGTGGTTAAAATCTATTTCAGCCACCCTATTCCTCCTCTCACACCATTATGCATCCTTCCCATGAGTCAGTAATGAAGGAGAGAGGCGTCCCTGAGTTCCCCCCTCACCCTCATTATACTAGAAAAGGATCCTTAAATTATAATGATTATTCCTTGCACACATTAACACTGGACAGTTTACCAAGTATGTTTCAAATACTTGGGGAGTGTACATTATTTTTTAGATTTTCATATCAGACAGAATTACATGTGCCCTGAAGGGAGAAGAAAAAAAAAGTTTCCATCAACAGAAAGGAGTGTATGTCCCCCATACGACAAGATGTCTAGAGGAAGGCAGTGCAAGGCTGGCGGGGGCTCTATGATGACATCAGAGACCCAAGCCATTCATAGCCGCCTTCTTCTTATCATGAGGATAAGTCCTCATGCTTCCAAAATTGCTGCTCACCTCTATGCATCACATCTACTTCCCAGGCAGAAAGAGGACAGGTGAGTGAGGAGAAAAGAGAAAGATACATTCAAGCTAGCTGGAAGAAAACAGTAACTTTCCAAGACATCCCTTCCCCACCAACAAACTTTTACACACACACACACACACACACACACACATACACACACACACACAGAGGAAATGCTAGATTAAAATGTACATTACCACTACTAGCAGTAAAGATTAGCTTTTCATGATATTGCACCCCATGCGCCTGGGTGGCTCAGTGGGTTAAAGCCTCTGCCTTCGGCTCAGGTCATGATCCCAGGGTCCTGGGATCAAGCCCCGCGTTGGGCTCTCTGCTCCGCGGGGAGCCTGCTTCCTCCCCTCTCTCTCTCTGCCTGCCTCTCTGCCTGCTTGTGATCTCTCTCTCTCTGTTAAAAAAAAAAAAAAAAGATTAGCTTTTCTTTAAGGAAGGGCAACTCTAATAATCACAATGATCTAAACTCTGGAAATCAGAAAAGTCGGTTGGCATCTTCTCATCGGGAGCAAAACAGATGGGTGTCACTACGTGACCACTGGCCATGTCTCTTTTCTCCTTGAGGTTTCTTTGATGCTCCATAAATTGGCTTTTGTGCTCCTGGTCCTTCTTAGAAGGGTTTTCCTCAGCCCTTCTCCTGTGAATGACTTCCAAATGTGTTCACATGTGGGGACAGCTGGGAGCAAGAGTCTATCTGAAAAGACACCCTAGCTCTGACACCCGCCGTGTGTAGAAACCACGTGTGACGTATGCTGACACATCCTGCTTCTGATTCCACTTTGTTCCACCAAGCAGCAGGGTTTGGTATCAGCCTTGGTTTTGTTCCATTTATATTTATGGAACATCGGTGAGCTGAAGCAGATGAGCCTTATTTCACAAACCGACGCTAGCGTCAACGTCAAACTGTAAGGGGTCAGAAATGGCAGGGCTCCACTCACAGCTCCACCATTCCTAATGTGCAACCTTGGCCAAGTCCTGTGACTTCTCTGCATCATATTCCTTCACTAGTGTATTTGTTTTCCATTGCCGTGTAACAAATTACCATGAGCTTAGAAGGTCACAGCAACACCTGCTCATTATCTCAGTTTCTGTGGGTTAGTCCAGGCACAGCTTAGTTGGGTCCTCTGCTCAGCTCTTATCTGAGACTCAGGATTGTCACCAGAGTCCATTGCCTGGTGGCATATTGGGGTGCTTGGGTGACACAGTCGGTTAAGGATCAGACTCTTGGTTTCAACTGGGGTCATGATCACAGGGTCATGATCACAGGGTCATGATATTGCACCCCATGCTAGGCTCCCTGCTCAGTGCAGAGTCTGCTTGGAATTCTCTCCTTCTCCTTCTGCCTTTCCTGCTCATGTGTGCCCTTTCTCTCCCCTCACCAAATGAATAAATCAATCTTAAAAAAAAAAAAAAGTAAGAAAGAGAGAAAAAGAAAAAGAAAAAGAAAGAAAATCATGGTGGCATCCTTCTGCATGCCCAGCATGACTTGAGTCTCAAGCCCCTTGAATTTCTTTTAAAGGGCTCACCTGATTAGGTCAGGCCCACCCAAGATAAACGCCCTTTTAATTAATTTATATAGTCAACTGATCAGGGGCCCTAATCACATCTGCAAAATCCCTTCACCTTTGCCACAATGTAACATACTTATGAGCTATATCCCATCATATTCCCACACTCAAGGGGAGGGGGACTATAGAGGGCATCCATAAAAGGGGGCAGAATCTCAGGCCATCTTAGAAGTCGGCCACCACACCCTGTAAAATGAAGATTCAAATAAGACCTATTGTACATGGTTACTCTAAAGATGAAATGAGACAGTGATGATAGCAGGAAGCATCCAGCACTCAGTAACTGCTGTAATCATTCCAGTATTTCTAAGTATCTGCTGCATGGCAGGCCCCACGTTAGGAGCTGGGGATTCAGGAAATAATAATGTCAACCTCGCTCTAAAAAATCATGACATTTCTCTTAACACTAAATGTTCCTCGTCACCCAACCCCGTTCAAAAGCTGCCAAAAAGCAATAAAGCTTTAAAATCCAACTAAATGACTTTTTGATACAAAGTCTCAGGGTTTTATTTTTTCACTTATTGGAGTCACTGTCAAAAATAAAAAGTGTTGACTCCAATCAAAGACTATCATCCATAGGATTATTATTTCCACCCTTAAACGTCCCCCCACTACCCCCCCACCCCGGTTTGGCCACGAACTTGCAGTCAGAGGAGCAGCTGTCTAGTAATATCGTGTTGACGCAGGTGAACTCAACTCTCCCTGGGTGTTCTTAGCCTCAGCTGCTCTCGGTCGAATCCCCGGGCGGGCTTGTCCAGGGTCCCACCTGCTGAAATGCAGGTGCTTTTGGCCTGGGGTGCAGACTTGCTTTGGAATTTTTAAAGCCCCATCCTCCACACCCCCCACCCCCGAATGCTCCAATACACCACCAGGGAAGAGAATTTCTGCTGGAGCCAAAGTCTGATAGTTTCCCACCGTCCGAAAGCCAAATTCCCCTTAAAGAGAAACTGTTGAAGATAAGACGGGCCAGACACGTGAGCAGCGATAAAGGATTTTTCCATATATTTGCAGCAAAGACTGAAATTCAACACATTTCACACCTTTTCAAGCTGCTCTCCCAGGTCTGGACTGCTGCTCCTTTGTGCAGACAGCCCGCCTCTGGGTGGGGAGTAGCTGGGATCATGCTGAGCACAGAATCCATTGCCCAGAAAGCTGCTGGTGCTCAGCATGTCTTCCGCTCATTCGGTCTTTATTTACTCTGTCACCTGCATGCATTGAGCACCTACTATATGCCAGACTTCAGCATGGGTGCTGGGGCTTCAAAGACCAACAGGACCCAAACTGTGCCTTCAAGAGCTCAGAGTCTACTGCCAAGAGGCAAAGATGCCCTTCCTGGACCAGACGAGAAGTGCTTTCTGGACGGAGGACAGGAAGCTAGTTTTTCGGCTGTAAATAATCTTTTTAAAAACCTTTTCTGTCTTCTAGGACTACGTGTATCTCTCTCCGGTTTTAATCAGTCCCAGAGGGCAGCCTCTTTCCAACTTCCCTTCCATCTCCCTGGCAACCATTCTTTTCCCCCATCCCACCCCAGGAAAAAATTACCAAAGAGAAGAACATAAAAACTGCTGAAATGTCATAATTATTCTGTAAGGAAGAAGAACCACATGAAGCCCTAGCCTCCTCCCCTCCCCTCCCTTCTAATCCTCTGGAGTTTTTCTCCCATACAGAGGGGCATACTCCACAACCCAGGACCACATCCTGAGCTGGGGCGGGTGGGGGGGCAGGGCTGCCTCCTTCCACTTGCCGAACAGCGCTGGCTTCCAGCAAGACCGACTGCCAGTGCAACCAAAAGCAGACACTTATTGACCGAGGAGACTTTGGCAAAGCTCAGAGAAGCTGCATTCCTCTTTTTTTTTTTTTTTTTTTTTAAGAGGGAGAGAGAGGGACAGAGGAAGAAAGAGTATCTTAAACAGGCTCCAGGCCCAGCTCAGAGCCAAAGACGGGGCTCCATCCCACGACCCTGAGATCATGACCCTAGCCAAAATCAAGAGTGAGACGCTCCACCGACTGAGCCCCCCAAGCGCCCGTGGATTCCTCTTTGAAGATAACACTGAGCCAGAGACAGCTGTTTGAGACAGAGCTGGTGGTGTAAGATTAGGACAGGATTTGGTCTGTCTGGCTCTAGAGGGGACCTTCCCCCCAGAGTGACACATGTCCGTAGAGCCCCGAGAGGGAGTTCAACTGGCAGTCCAGTGCCCCCACCACCCCCCAAATGCCTTCCCCCTTCCATTTGTCTTATAAACACTTCCTGAGAATCCGCTGTGTACAAGACCCTGGGCTCGGCTCTGCTAGCCCTCCACCACCCTACTTCCACCCACGAAGGTTTTGGAAAATATCGGTACCTTACTATGGACTCAAAACTTAAGTATCCTGGCAGACACCAGAAAGAATCGCTCTGAGTTGTTTTTTTTTTTTCTACCTACTCTGGCATCCTGGGGAAATTGCTGTCAAGCCTACTTCATTCTCTAGTTTGAAATTCTGTTCAAGTGCAATGCTTCAGTCGGGGGTTGCTAAACGTTTTAAGGAGCCACACGAGCAAGTACCACCCAGACCCAGGTCTGGTGAGCAACTCCGAAGGTCACAGCTGGCTTGGTAGAGGAAAGCCTAGAGGTGGAGTCTGCCTTCAGTTACGTGTCTGGTGCATGGAGGTGGGGCGGGGTGGGGCGGGGGTAGCAATTCTGTCCAACATCCTTCCGAAGCTGGGTTACATGAAGCAGAACTGCATCACATGCTTCAATGTCACCAGGGTGAAAAGCAGGGGTTGAGGGTCGCGGTGATGAGATCATTTACTCCAGGACTCCAGAGCCTTGTATCTCTAAATGAGCCTTGTGTCCCTAACTGGTTTAAATGTGGTCACGCATCATGTCTAGAAGATGAACTGTATGGCTTCAAGGTCCCTGGGAACCCTAGATTTTGTCTTTGAATTAGGCCAGCCAGCCTTGGCTTGGTTTGCTCAAGGCTTGGTGACGGGCCAGTTGTCTATCTTGCGCAAGCGATTTTGAAACTGCTGAGAAAACTTCAGAATCCTCATTTCTATTTTGGAAATTAGCACTTGTCTCCTTGTGACAGGGGGTGTATTGAAGCATCCACTAATGCAGGGGTTGGCAAACTGCAGCCCATTAGGCCAAATTTGTCCTGCCATTTGTCTTCGATGACTTGCAAACTAAGAACGGTTTTGCCATTTTTAAATGGCTGGGGAAAAAGAAATCAAAAGAATGATCTTTTGTGATACATGAAAATCCTATGAACATGACTTTAGGTGCCCATCGATAAAGTTTTATTGAACCACAGCTACAGCTCCTTATTTACGTGTCATCTGTGGCTATTTTTGTTTCACGACAACTGTGTCCTGTGGCTGCAACAGAGCGGGTATGGCCACCAAGCCCAGCCTATTCACCATCTGGCCCCGCCCGAGAAAGTTTGCAGACTTCTGTGTGAATATGAAAAAATAATTCTTCGCAAATCCAAGAAAGCGAGAGGGTCCCCTAATTCGTTATTTAATTAACCTGATTAGATGACCGACTTGGACCCCGTAATGAGCTTCTCTACTCAGTTAACTCCCCAGAGTAGCAATCAACTCATGGGGCATCAGCAAAACAATTTGCCAATAATCCACCTAGCAAAGAGAACTGCCCACCATGCTCATCATACTCCAGAAAGCAAATCAGAATGTCCTACAGGTTCCATGTGTCTTTCCTAACAAGGGCTTTCCTTCTTGGCTCTGGGTTGAGGGTCTGCTTCCTTCTCTGGGGCGCGAACGCTAGGTCTAGCACTGTGTGTGGATCCTAAGAGTATGGCATTTCTCTCTTCACTTCCCTGGAACAGACTGGAAGCTGCCGATCCCGCTGGGACCTGTTTATCCACCATTAATCTCGAGTCTGAACACCACCAAAGCTGTAGGACGAAGCTGGGACTTTTCTCTTCCAATAGCAAAGAGCTTACAAATACATGACGTGAGTCTTCCAAAAATCCCTCTTTCCCCCTATCTTTTGCATGCTGAGGACTGAGGGTGTGCCCCCCCACGGAGCACACTCAGCAAGCGAAGCCCTGACAAAGACCACAGGAGCAGGAGTCAGTGGAGTGAGACACTCACAGGAAGTCAAATGGGGCACACAGACCCCCCCTGGGGTCAATGGTCTGGAAGCCCAGAGGAGAAGGAGCCTGTTCTGGCTGGGGGAGGCCCTTCATGGAAGCCAAAATCAGAGCCCTAAAAGAGGAATAGGAGGGAGGTGGGGGGGGGCAGTAAGACAGGGCAGGGGTGGAGGGGGAGGAGACCCAGGCAGAAACGGAGGCACGTGTTAATTGTGTTAAGGAGGTGATGATGCTGCTGGAGATGCTGGCTCTGCCCGAGAAAGGCAACGTGGCAAACCAGGGAAAGGAGGAGGGTGGGAGGATCCCCAACGGGAGGCCTCTCATTGGGACCCTCCCGGGGGGCTCTGGCCCCGTCCAGAATGCTCCGGGCACCCCAGGCCCCATCTACACTCCCGCGGCTTGCTTCATGCCCTCGCTCTCCAAGGTGGGCTCTGAATAGCACCATCCTCAGAACAGAGTCACCAACCCCGAAGCAATGCAGTGAATTTATACTTGATGCAAGAGAAGGTCACAGAGAGACCTCAGCAAAGCCCTCCCACTGGCTGGGTCCCAGTTTCTCCATCCAGGAAGTGGGATGCTGGATCTCTGGCATCCCTCGTGGCCCCGGGTTTTGGTCAGCCCCTCTGCCCGCCCCCAGAGCTGCTAGTGCTGTGTCCTCTGGGCTCCTTATGGGCAATCCTAGAAAGAAGTAAAACAACAGACCTCCGTGTTTCCTGTTGTGTGGGAGGCAGGAAATGGCCCAAACCCCTAACTGGGATGAAGTCCCTACAACATGTCCGGCCGCCCACTCCTAAGTAACCCCTACCCGTGCAGGTGTGTTGGCCAGGAAGAGGGCATGTTGGGCCATCAGCCACAGGAGTGCGTCCCCTGCCCATGTTCCCAGCCGTGCCCCTGCCCTGTGGGGTGTAAAAGTATTACAATGTGAATAGGGATAGTGTTTGCTGAGCCTCCTCTGCAGACAGGGAGGGCAGGGCGTGCGTGGGGTGGCCCCCCTGGTCAGAATTGAAACTGGGCACCACTCTCCCACTGGCCACACATGGACCAAGCAAGAGGGGTAGCAGCTCCTTGAAGAAACCAATGTGCAGGAAGAATCTGATGCTCTCTTTTCCGCACAAAGAGGCGGGGGCAGGAGAGGGAGCTGAGTGAGGGTGAGATCGTCAGGAACTGGGATGCCCCCGTGAAAACAAGCATCATGGCAGTCAGAAGGCAGGGATTGGCCCTGCCCAGCAATGGGCCCCCAGCAGGACCACCTCCAGTAGAGAGCTGGGTCTGGGCAGAGGGTGCGGTGAAGGGGAACTCTCTGTCTGGGGAAATTCACTGTGTACCTTACGGTGGTGTTTCTCCTAGTGGAATGCCGGCAGGGCTCCTCCGCTTCTCAGTTTCTAATAGAAGCGAGATTAGAATCGCAAGTTAGGACCCTTCAACACACATCACACCCTGCCTCCTGCTCCTTGCCCCCAAGAAGGATAGCTTTCAACCCATGGCATTCTTGACATTCCAGTTTCATATAATCCGTGCCATTTCCAGGCTGGAAAAAGACCTTGTAAAGAATCTACCATATGGGTGGGTGTTGACCCAAGGTCCTATAGCAATTGGCAGGCTCATAACTAGAGCTCAGTGCCCTGACCCCCAACCTAGCATGCCGGACTCCCAGCAACAAACAGAAAGGATGCCCCTTTGATCAGTTTCCCAAGGTCACAGAAAATTTAGAAAGATCAGCGGAAATCTAACTGATAGTCAAGAGGCAGGGACAAGAGCTGGCTGTTGTCAAAAACACGCCTTGTCTCAGTGTGAGCATGTGGAACTTGGGAACCGCGTGCTACCTCAGCTCCTCGCTACAGGTGCATGTGGCCCATCTGCCCCAGCAGGGCCCCTTCCGGCACTTCATGGACATGAAGGCAGAGAAGAGATTGGCTGGCCGGAAGGAGCGCCGCAGTCGCTTTGGAGACATCAACGTGCACAAGTGCTATCAGTTTGGACAAATCTTCTCCCCTTTCCAGGCCCTCACCACAACAGTGAGCAAGCTTCCCCATGAAAAGAGTTGTTAAGTCTTTCAGTGAGAACACTAGCAAACCCCAGTTATTTCCCCTTTTAAGAAAGGTATTAGTCAATTCTGGCCACAAGAATGCTGTGTAACAAACATGCCCCAAATTTACTGACTTACCATTGCAACCACCCATGTTTCTCACTTGCTAGCCTGCAGAGAAATACACTTATTCCATTTCTGTTGACTGCAAGATCGTAGGTAGGAGGGAATGAAGAACTGAGAACAATAATCCCATCTACCACAAGAGACTAAAGGTAGCCTAGTACCTAATGGATGGTTACCTTAAGTTTAGGGGGAGATCTGAAGGCAAATGTTTGCAGCTTGGTGTTCTGAAATAAGACCATTTCAAGAGAAGACAGAGCTCTGGGGGAAAGGGAAGTTTTTGTAATAAGGGAAGATGGTTCTCGCTCCTATCCTTCTGTCCTACCTGTGACCTTCTGGACTCAGGTCAGTTCAAGTGGGACCATTCCAAAATGCATTTCCTTAAAACCATTACTGTAATGTCTTTCTAAATATACACTCTTATGATTTTTAACATTTGAGTGTGCATATGAATCACTTGGGAAGCCTAATTAACATGTAAATTCCCAGGCTTAGAGTGATTTCAGTTCAGAGAGTTTGGGTCGGGTCTTGGAATCTCCTTTGTTAACAAATTCTCCGTCTACCACCTTCATTCATCATCACTTCTTCCCAACTTTGCTCCCTTCACCAGTTGGCAGGATGACGAACTCACCCTTGTTTTCCCATGGATTGGGAACAGCATCCATGTGCTGGTATTGTACCATGTACCAGGTATAGTGCTAAAGATTTTACCAAACCTTAATCTTCATGACCTCTGCCACATCAACACCCTCATGTTATCAATGAAGCAAGAAAAGCTGAGACATGTTAAGTAACTTGCCCAAGATTATCAATGCTCAGGGCAGAGCCAGGATATGAACCTGCTAAGCTATATGCCATTGCCATTATTCTCTACCTTGTAGGAAATGCAAAGACTGGTATTTCCCCAAGACCTGCCCATGAGTCCACACCTACAGAAAATGGGCATTTCATGCACCACTGAAGCGAATCTCCAGGATTTATCCTTGTCTTCCAGAGAGTTGGGTATGAAAAAAGATGACAGCAACCATGAGAAAGAGAAGCCAGCAAGTCACATTAAGATCCCTTTATTCCCCCCAATAGTTAAAGCAACAAAATCTAATGACATGAAATAATAAAAATTTTAAAACTGCGTTCTGGCACCTTACTGCAAGGCTTTGCATTACAACAGTGAGAGCCCAGAGACTCAGGAATGCTGAGACGTTCTCAAACCTGACTTAACCTTTAGATAGCTTGAGAGCCACCAACATGCCTCTGTGTGAATATTCTGAGAGTGAGACAATTAGGAACTGCAGTACTTAACTAGAACTGGATATCCAATAGGTTTTTCTCAGAAGTCTAAAGATGGGGGGAAAGGTTGGCTACAGTACAATGAATCGAGAACCCCACTCTTTCCATTTCCTGGTCTGTCATCACTAGAGTTTTGGATGGCAACCTTGGGATTTACTCCATGTGGTGACCAAGTGGTTGCCACTGCACCAAACACCACATCCTCACACGAACACATCAAACACTGGAAGGCCAAAGGTTCTCCTCATGCTACAAATACATGCACATGTGTACACACACTCACACATATATGTGCATGTACATGTGCACACACAAGGAGAACCTCTCCTGGGAGCCACTCAGTAGATTTTTCAGCAATTCTTGACCAGGATGGTGCAGCTTGCCCATGCCATAACCCCAAGGGAAGCTGGTAAGGCATGTATCGGGTGTTTACCAGGAAGCATGTTCTGCCATCACTAAAAGAAAGTACTAAGATGACTGATGGATCAATCAATGTCTGTGGACATTGTGGACATATTACTAGTTGGCAGGTCAGACTTACAGTGAGAAATTTCTATTTTCTCTGGGTGAAAATCATCTTCTCATGATTTTTAAGCATCCATCCTAAGGTTGCTCCTCCAAGAAGCCTCTGCCACCTTAACCTGCTTTCATTTTCATTTGATTTTAAAAGCAATGGGTGTTTATAATAAAACTACTCAGAAGTTGAATAATCAGGAAAATAACAATGACCCAAATCACACCGTTTAGAGACAGCTAGTGTTTGCATCTGGCACTGTTAGATTATTTTTCATTCTCTTGCCATTTTTGGTAATGCCAGGTTTCCTCTGGGCCTCAATCTCTTTCCCTAGTTTTCACTGGGTTGTCTTTTGCCACCATTGCCTGACATCTCTTAATAGGACCCCTGGTCCACTTCTGGGTCCCTTTCCATGTAGCCACAGTTATAGAAGCCTTGGCTTCTGCTTCATTACATTGCTGTTCCCAGGAAGGTGCCCCATCCTTCCCTTGTTTCCATCTCTTAAACATACTAAACGACCCCCAAAACAGAAACAAAACTTATTCTTTCTTAAAAAAAAATCTTTAACATTTTGCACAAATTCATGGAGGGCTTCATTTTTCTGTTGATACCACTGTATAGCTATAGACCTTCACATATTTCTGAGCGTATGCCTTTCAGAAGACATTGCATTTCCTCCACCTTGGGGCACAGGTCCTCTTTCTTTTGCCTTTTTTTTTCTTGGAGTTTCTTTTTAAATTTAATTTCATTTTAAATTCTAGTATAGTTAATACATGAGGTTATGTTCATTTCTGGTGTACAATAGAGTGATTCAACACTTCTGTTCAACACCTGGTCCTTCCTCCTTCACCACCATCACCTGTTTCACCCATTCCCCCCCCACACTCCCCTCTGGTAACCATCAGTTTCTTTGCTATAGTTAACAGTCTGCTTCTCAGTTTTTTTCTCTCTTTCTTTTTCCCCCACCTTTGCTCAATTTTTTTTTTTGCTACTTAAAATCCATATACGAGTGAAGTCATATGGTACTTGTTTTTCTCTAACTTATTTTGCTTAGTGTTATACTCTCTAGCTCCATCCATGCCATTACAAATGGCAAGATTTCATTCTTTTTGATGGCTGTGTAATATTCCATTTCTCCAAAGACGACATCCAGGTGGATATGTACATTTATCTCTTCTTTGTTCATTCATCTATGGATGGACACTTGGACTGCTTCCCTAATTTGGCTATTGTATCTAATACTATAAACATAGTGGTTCGTGTATCCCTTTGAATGAATGTTTTTGTATTTTGGGGGTAAATACCCAGTAGTGTGATTACTGGATAATAGGATAGTTCTATTCTTAATTTTTTGAGGAACCTCCACCCTGTTTTCCACAGTGGCTGCGCCAGTTTGCATTCCCACCAACAGTACATGAGGGTTCCTTTTTCCCACATCCTCGCCAACATTTGTTTCTTGTGTTTTTGATTTTAGCCATTCTGACAGGTGTGAGAGGACATCTCCTTGTAGTTTTGATTTGCTTTTTCCCTGATAATGAGTGATGCTAAGCATCTTTTCTTGTCTGTTGGACATCTGGATGTCTTCTTTGGAGAAATGTCTGTTCATTTCTTCAGCCCATTTTTAATTAGATTATTTTTGGGGGGTGTTGAGTTGTATAAGTTCTTTATATACTTTGGATACTAACCCTCAGATATGTCATTTGCGAGCATGTCCTCTTTCAATCTGAGGCAAACAACTCCCTTTGTAGCTATATTAATTAATTGCCCGCTTGCTTTTCATTTTACTGACATTATTTACAATCACACAGGCAGAATTTTATATTTTAGTGTTTCCCATTTTGCTTGAGCCAGGGATCCACAAATTGTGGTTCTCTGGCCAAATCTGGCTTTCCTCATGTGTCTATAAATAAAGTTTTATTGGAAAACAGACATGCCCATTTGTTTACATATTGTCTACTGCTGCTTTATTGCTACAATAGCAGAGTTGACTGATTATAACAGAGACCCAAAGCTGAAAATATTTACTATCTGGCCCTTTACAGGAAAAGTTTGCTGAGCTGTCTTAATCCAGATTCCCCTTTATAATTTCTGGCAAAGGTACCTGCTTTGCTGACCTCAGGCTTTTAAATTTTTTCCCTAAGGTCCTGAGTCTATGATTATGTCCATCTGAATCTTCCATTACAAAAATGAACTCAAGTAATAATAACACTAACAGTCAAAAATTTTTGCATACTAATACTTAACATTAGTACTAAGTGTATCGATTCATCAGCTTTCTGAGAGCTCACTACGAAGTGGGTACTATTATCCCCATCTTCCAAAGAGGAAAACAGAGCCAAGGCGAGGTAAAGGAACAGAGCTACTAAGTCACAGAAGCAGAATTTGGACCCAGGAGATGGTGCTCCAGAACCTACGCTCTCACCATTGTGGTATCCTTCTTACCCAGTGGTCACTGTCCCCCAAAGCTGCCCTCACCCTTGTGTTCCCAGCCAGTCTTCTGGTTTAAGTCGCAAGTGGAAAATCTCTCAGTGGGCTTCATCTACCTTCTTGGAGATGAAATTACCAGCAAAGGAAGTCCGGTGGGGCAGGGTCCTTGTTCTGCCTCCTCCGCACAGACAGGGTTCTGGGGATCTCGTGATAGGGATGTGGGTTTTGGAATCCTGTAACGTTTGAGTCCTAGTTCCATTATCCATTGGCCAAGGGATCTGGGGCTTAACTTCCCTGAGCCTTGACTTCCTCTTCTGTAAAACAGCCTTAATGTTGAAAGTACTGGCTCTCATCAGGGGGATGAAATGAGAAAATGCAAAGTCCTTAGCACAGTCCTTGGGCTATACATGGAGTCAGGAACTTATCCAGTTCCTTTTCTAGAAGGATCTATGGTAGAGGGCTGTCTAAGGCTGCCCCCATCACTACCTGCCTGCAGAATAATTGGCCATCTGTGTTAAGAAACCCTCCTGCAGGGGTGCCTGGGTGTTTCAGTTGCTTAAGCTACTGCCTTCAGCTCGGGTCATGATCCTGGAGTGCAGGGATCAAGTCCCGCATCGGGATCCCAGCTCCATGGGGAGTCTGCTTCTCCCTCTGACCTTCTCCCCTCTCATGCTCTCTCTCACTGTCTCTCTCTCTCTCTCTCTCTCTCTCAAATAAATAAATAAAATCTCTTTTTAAAAAAAAGTTAATATTATAAAAGAAAAAGAAACCCTCCTGCATATCTTGTGCCTAACCTGGTAGTTTGTGTCTAAATTTCTGGCTTTCCCTCCTTTTATTCTGTGAGCCACTCCTTCCCACCTGCTGCTGCTTTCAGGGAGAGGATTCTGTCCAGAAGGCCAAGCTCTGTAGCGGTGCCAATGAGGGCTTAACATCAGCACTAGCCAACCTGGGCATGCTTTCTTTCTTTTAAACAAGGTGTAGCCTTCCACCCAGACCGAAGCAGAGAAAAGCTCTATACAATCACAGTGGAAGCCACTGAAAGCTTGAGACCCAGAGAGAGCATATCCAACTCTGAGCCATGTGTTCCAGCATTAAAAGGAAGAACCATCAATTTAATTCACAACCAGCAATATATCCGATTCACATACAGCTTTGCGGGAACCCATTAATACACAAAGCAAGATTTACGTAGACAAAGCTTTCTTCCACTCTCAGCTTCGAGCAAGGCAAGATTCATAAGTGAGAAGTAATAATGATTGCACTGGCCAGCATATGCTGCGTAATCACTTCGTTCCAGGTCCTGTGTTCAAAGCTTTTGTGGAGTTAGCTCATTTAATCCACACTACTGTTCCACTCGGATAAACCCCAATTATTAAGGTCCAGGAAAGTCTAACAGTGCCATCACATACCTGCCTTTTCTCTGTACAGGCAGAGACCAGCACCCTCTAGGGCCTGGACACGCCCTCCCAGGCTTGTCCTCTGCCCAACAGCCTTTAAGGAGCAGCCATCTCCATTCCACACTTGCTCAGAGCAGCACACGCATTCTTACCCTTTCTGCCCTGTGGTTTCTGGGATCTTTACTCTTTTCTGAGCTGTCTTGATAAGGTCACCCAGGCCTCTCTGACAAACACCAGTGTATTCATCTGCCACTGCTTGGAGATAACGTCTTCCCATTTTGGCTGCTGCCTTCTGAGGCTCTGACGTACAAGTGAGGGCCCCCACCTCCCGGCAGGTGAGGGGGGCGGGTGGGGGAGGTTCCACAGGGAGAACCCCGCAAGGAGCTGTTGGACCTTTGGCGGCCGGAGCTTCCAGAAGTGAGGAAGTTAGGAGAAAGGCAGGGGGATGGGGAGCAGGCTCCTGGGATGGTGAGAAGCTTAAGGTCGGTTTGAGGACAAGCTCTA